TTGGAGCCTGGGCCAGGGCAGGGCCATACCCAGCATGCATTCTCAGAGTAGGTTTTCTCAGGGGTGATGAGAGAAGTGGAGAGAAAGAAGAAAAGGCTTGAGTGAGCCAAATACCTCCTCAGGGCTGGAGAGACAGGAAGCCTCCTAATACATGGTAGAAGCTGAGGCTGGAACTTTGCTCTTCCCCTCCTGACCTGCTGCTGTTAATGGAACCCTCCCCCCGCCCCCATGACTCCATTACCCACCTCCAGGGGACCATTACTGTGCCTGGGCCCTCACGGTTAGCCTGCCTTGGCTGCTTGGTTCCAGGGAGACGCCCTCAATACTATTCCAGCCTTTCAGATGGGCCTGTTATATGAGGCTTGCTGTGTCTCCATTTCCAGTTTGATCAAAGGTTTTATATTTTTTCAGCCAGAAAATCGTCTATGAGTTTGCAACAAATTCTTACCAGAATAGAAATAAATAAAAATATAAAAGCAAAGGTGCTGAAGTTGAAGTGGGATGGGGGTTCCCCAGGCAGCTCAGGGTAAGGGAGATTCTGTTGGGGGATTTGAAACCTGCTGGACTTGATGACCTCTAAAATCCAGCAATGAAGTGTCTGGGGAGGATGTCAGGAGATGGAGACATCCAGCCCCTCATTACATGGGATACTAACCCCTTGAACCAAGACAGCTTGGGATCATGAATAAAGCCATGGAAAAAGAATGCAAGGGTAGGGAGCAGTGGCTCATGCCTAAAATCCCAGCACTTTGGGAGGCCAAGGCAGGAGGACTTCTTGGGCCCAGGAGTTCAAGACCAGCCTGGTCAACACAGGGAACCCCATCTCCACGAAAAATTTAAAAATAAGCCAGGCATGGTGGCATGTACCTGTAGTCCCAGCTACCTGGGACGCTGAGGTGGGAGGATCACTTGGGTCTGGGAGGTAGGGAGTGTAGCGTGCTGTGATCATGCCACTGCACTCTGGCCTCGGTGACAGAGTGAAACCCTTTCTCAAAAAATTCACAGGCCAGCAAGTGAGAAATTAGTATTACTCCATTTTGCAAAAGAGGAAACTCGGGCTCATAGAGGAGTCATGGGACAGGTGAGGCAAGACTGGAATCTAAACCCAAGGCTATGGGGTTCAAGGACTAGGCTCTTTCCTCTGCTCCTCAGGCCTAAGTTACCTGTGTGGTAGCTGAAGCCTGTATGTCTCAGGGATGCAGTTTCCTCAGTTGTAAAGTAAGGGAGTTGGGCCACAGGAGGGGCAGAGCCCTGGGCAGGCCACCAGCCAGGTTTGCCTGCTGAAGGCTTAGGTAGAGCCTGGGTCCTCATCTTGATGTCAAAGAAACTGGTTTCTCCAGGGCTAAATGGCAGTGACAGTATAAGGTTTGAAGTTTTGGAAGGAAGAAGAGAAACAGGGAGTTGGCTGGAGTTCCAGTGCCTAAAGGAGCTTCCCCACACTGGAACCTGAAGACCTAGGCCCTGTAACTTGGGCTATGAGGATACTTAGGTCCCTGGAAGCTGTGCGGTGCAGCTTAGACAATAGGCAGAGGAGGCTGGACAAGGGGCCTTTGTGTGTCCCAAGCAAAGGTCCCAGCAGGACTGCAGAGGCGGCTCAGCCACACTAGGCTGTGTGTCCACTCTGCTCCTGCTCCTGGCTGGGCTGCAGCCAGCACCCTTCCTGGACCCCTCCTGGACTGGCAGCCAGGCCCAGTCAGCTGATGTGGAGCCCAAAAGGGCCCAAGGCCCCAGGGCCCTGGGCAAGCTCCTTGGCTACAGGAAGAGGCCTCCTCTGCACTTGTCCAGCAACGCTAATGATTGATTCCATTTCACAGGAAAGGAGACCCTGAGAGGGACTGGAACTGGGTCAAGGTCTCCCAGAGTCAAAGCTGAAGCTGGGCAGGAACCTACACTCCTGATTCCTAGACCAGAAATGATAGAGGGGGGCCCTCATTCATTCATCCATCCACAACTTCAAGGATTGAGCACCTCCCAGGACCTGAGTCAACAGCAGGAAGAAGGCAGACCTGGTCGCTGCCCTCGGGAGCTCACAGTATCGGAAATGGTCAGACATGGGGAAATGGTCAGACATCAGAGTAGGGTTGAGGGCGGAGAAGAGAGTTAAAGCAGCTCAAGATGAGGGGCCAAAGAGAGTTGGGAGTTCAGGGAGCTGCTGGTAAGATTAAGGGAAAGCAGGGAGCACGGGAGGCGAGATCCTGAGTGCCCTGCTTTCCTTCCCAGGGTAGTGGGGAGAGGCACCACCTGTCTCCACTTTCAAGCAAGGGAGGTGTGTCCTTAGCCTGGGGTTCGGAGCAGATCTCTCAGAGCAGGTCCCTTCCTGGACAGCCGGGCTGGGGCAGGGGCGCGACAGGGGTCGGGTGGCGCGGCGGCTGGGAGCAAAGGTCCCGCAGTGGGCCACGCAAGCGCATAGCGGACATGGCAAAACTTTGGCGTCTCTGAAAACCCCTCCTTACCCGCTCCCTTCTGGCGTGAGGGAGCCAGGAGGCCTCCTTCTGGCCGGGCAGTGGGACGGTCGCCGCCCGCCCCTCGCGGTGCAGCACCGGTACAGACGCGCTGACCCCGCGGCCGTGTCGCTGGGTGGCGTCCCCGAGCGAGTGGCGAGGTGTCTACCCAGGCGGGTTGGGGGCGGTGCCAGGGTCGGTCAAGAGTCCGCCCCGCCCCCTGCCTGGCTCGGCTGGGGAACTGGGCCGGGAGGAGGCAGCGGGGCTCCCAGGCACGTGGGTCTCTGCGGCTGCGGCGGCTGGACGCTGGCACTGGCACCTGGGAGCGGCGGCGACGGCACCCCGGGCGGAGGGGCGCAGCTCAGTGAGGAGAGGTGGGGCGCCTGGAGGGAACAGGGGGCAGGGAGAGGTCGGCGGGAGAGGCCCCTGGACGCGGCGGGCCAGACTGGGGCAGGTGCCGACTGGGCGCGGGGCAGAGGAGAGCCCTGTGGAGCCGCTGTCGCCCCGGCCACCGTTGCGAGCCGGAGTGCAGCGCATAACTGGACGGCTTGAGCGCGCCTGTGGGTCGGTAGTTGAACTTTGTCTCCACGGGAGCGTCGGTCTCGATGAGTGTGGACCGGCGCCCGGTAGTGAGGAGAATGTGCGCGTCCGCGTATTGGGGAAGTCTGCGTGTTAGCGGGTGTGTGAGCCACTGGGGGCGACTGGTCTAGCCTGCGGAACTTGTCTGTGTGTGCTCAGATGTGAGCGCCCCCGTGGCGTGGGGTGGTGGGCGGTGCCCAGAGACACGAACCCCTGGAGACCCACTGCCCCTGCCCCTGTCCTGCCCCCAGGGTCACTCTGGGTGGCCGCCTGCCATGGTAAGGTTGAGGGGCAGTTGCAGGGAGTGGGCAGGGGAGGAGGGAGTGGCGAGGAAGGACAGTTAAGCTTCTGTCCCGGGACTTTTAATCTGGCAAATGGTGCGGTAGGAAGGGTCAGTCAGGAGAAAGGCGATGCCCCACCTCCCAACCCAAGGGCTGCCGGTGGCCCTCTTGGGGTCCTCCAGGAGCGCAGCCCAAGGGCCAGGGACTGCTGGGAACCCGCGTTGCCTGCTCGGAACCTGTGGGGTCCGCTGTGCAGTTCCTCTCGGCATGGCCTCTCCAGATTCCTGGGACCACAGCCTGATCTACCTGGTTTGTTTTGGATCTAAGCTGAAATAATGATGAGCTTTTGAGGATCTGGGTGGAGCCCCAGGCAAGTTTATTACCTGTGGGGTGAAGTGGGAGGAAGAAGATTCTCTGAGCAGACAGGTCCACAGGAGAGCTCTGGAGACTTAGAGATCTATGTTCCAATCCTGTCTTGGCCACTCTGTGGCCTGGACAACGCGTCCTTTCTCTGAACCTCAGTGTCCTCCTCTGTAAGAAGGGACTAATGATATGGAATTTGAGGGCTGTTTAGGAGCAGAGTTTGTCTTGCTCAGCACCACTGTTCCCCCTGGGCAGGCTCACAGCTTGGGGATGGGAAGCTAGTCCCTGGAGGGAGCCTCCCAAAACCAGAATCCCAACTCTGTCCCTCCCTAGGGCACAAGACTTCCACAGGACCAAGCCTGAAGCCTGTAGCCTGGGACTTAAGGCCTCTGATAACTGGGGCCTGCCGATCTTTCCAGCCACCTCTCCCGCCTGAGTCTTCACCTTGCAGCAGCTGCCTGTAGTCTCTCATTTCTTGCCCCTGGCCTACTGCATATTCTATACTCCCTGCCTGATAAGCCCTCCTACTCCTTCCTCAACTGGAGAACTACCCAGACTTGGGACCCAGCTCAGATGTCCCCTCCTCTGGCAAGCCTTCCTTGATCCCCCCCCAGCTGTGTAGGAGCCTCTTCTAGGCCCCTAGAGTCCTGGTGCTGACAGCCCTCGTCCCACCTGGACTGTCATGCTCTATGTCTGCCTCCTCCTTTCTTCTTTGCAGGTCTAGGGGCTCCTGGAGGGCAGAAACTGGGTCTGACTCATTTCTGTGTTGCCAGCACTCTGCACAGGGCTGAGCTGAACTGAGAGAACAGCAGGTTTCTAACCCCAGCTTCTCCAGTAAAGGCTTGGCTGCAGAGGAGCTCCATGTCACTACAAAAAAGGGCAAACCAGAATCTGGTTACCTGCTACTGGGTGGCACAGGTTGCCAGAACAGTGTGATCTGAGACACTATAGGACCCAGAGTGCCCAGGCTAAAGACCTAGATTTCATCCTGAAGGCAATAGGGAGCCATGGAAATTTATGAGCAGAGGAGATTCATGGTCAGAGCAGCATTTCAGAAAGAGCTCTCTGGCTGCAGGATGGAGAATGGATAAAGAAATGTCAAGGACAGGAGGTCAGGGTGTGTGTGATGTTGACACTAGAACCGTCCCAGGGGTTGTTTAAACTCTAATTGAGCCCTTGCCCCTTGGCCAAACACTTTTCCCTGAGCCTTCAGATGCTCCTACTGGGGAATTTGAGGACCTGCAATTGATCTCGTCCCAGCTCTGCTCCCGGCTTGTTGGATGACCAGTTCCTGCCCTGCCAGGCTCTTAAAAAAGGCCAGAACAAGTAAGATCCTGCATGGGAGAGTATGTGTGTGGCACAAAAGGCTTGTCACTCTTTCTCCTCTTCTCCCTGCCTTGGGCTGTCTTGGAGTCTGGTCAGAGGGGTTGGGGATCACTGTGGGCAACCCTCAGAAGTGGCTACACTGTGGAGTGAGGCTGTGGCTTTTCTCTTCCTATCTCTCTCCTGCCCAGGTTACATGGGGCTCTAAGGCTGTGGATCTCCCCCAAGGACCAGCTAAGAAGGTGTGAGGATATCACCAGGGCCTCATGAGTGACCCCATGAGAGCTTTGACTTAGTGGCTAAAGTCTTTAGAGAGGCTATTGTCCCTCTCTAGGTGTCAGTTCTGTCATCTGTAAATTAAGAATGGTGATCCTTGCTTCTTAAGTGCAAAGTTGCTATGAGGATTCTTGAGCTAGTGATCAGGGAAGAGCTTTATAAGCCTTAAAGAGCAGTGCATGGAGGAGTGTGATACTCATAGACTTAAATCCACTTTGAAGATGATAAGAGAACATGGGTGCAATAGCAAAGGATTGTGCTCATTATTGAAATTTAATTATTGAATGCCTTCCTCCCCCACCCCCTCTGAAGAGAAGGCTTAACCAGTAACAATTTACAACAATCCATTTTGTCCTCCCACAGCCCTGTGAGCCCAATTGTGTTTCCATTTTGCTGATCAGGAAATGGAGGCCTGGATTGTATCTTTTCATCAGGCTGAGTTGAAATCTGGGGCTCCTGTCCACCTGGCAGCTTAGCCCTCCCCATCTGAGACAGAAGCCCTGTCCGGGTCTTGGTCCTCTGGCTTCCAGGCTGAGGGGAGTTTGAATTCTGCCCTGGAACAGTGCGTTTGGGGTTTTCTTGTGACCAGATTACTCAACTGCTCATTAGATAATGCCAGCTCAGACCTGCCCACAGGGCCAGAGAATCCTCATTGATCTGATGAAGGGAGTGGGGTTGCCCCTCATGCCACCTGCCCAAACTGCCTCTCCCCAAAGCACTTTCCATAGGCCTGCCTGGTGTACCCCCTGGGCCACACCTTTATCTTGGGTGCTCTTGGGTCCTCAGGCCTGGCCTCTCCTTATTACTGGGCCCTGATGGGAGGGGGCTGGCTGTGTGGGCCACTCTGACCTCTGTACTCATCCAGAGGCCAGTTGAAGCACTAAGCTAGGCCATCCCTGCTTTCTGTCTCCATCTCCATCACCCAGCACAGGTTGGGCTCAGAGCAGGTGCCAGTGGGTATCTGGGAAATGAGTGGCCAGGTGGGAGTAGCCATAGAGCAGAAGGGGAGGCTTTGCTCCATGGAGAGCCACACTTGGTTCTGGAGCAGTGGAGTTCCTCCACCCCTGTCACCCCATCTCCTAGGCCTGAGTCTTTCCTGGTCCAAGATGAGTAGCAGGAGTTTCTGCTGGGAGGGCGAGCAACCTGGGCCCCACGGAACAACTCCTTGGCCCTCTACTCTGGTACCTTGTCACTGTCAGTGTAGCTCCTGGGTGAGAGGCCTGGGTGCTGGAGAGAGGGAAGAGGGCTTCCCTCAGGCTTCTGGGACCCATGTGGCCTCTCCCTCCCCAGGTCTGAGGAGAGCTTCCGGGTGTGGGCGTGACCTCCTGGTGAGTGCCCAGCCACCCAGCCCTGGCTTGTAGGAGGGGGACTCTTGCCGTGGCTGGGCACTCACAGGAAATCCAGGGCCAAGGGACCTGCTCCTCTCACAGTACCACCATATGTGTCGTCTCCTCCTTGGTCGCCCTCCCTCCACACTCCCTGTCCCATCTACCTTCCATGTGGTGCCATCTTTTTAAAGGTCAACTCTGACCACATCCTTCCCTCTTAAGCCTTCCATGGCTCCTCATTGTCCTCAGAATAGAGGCCAAGCTCTTTGGCCTGGCATTTGAGCCTTTTCATATGAATTCCTCATTCCCCCTCGCCACACTCCATGCCACGCCACCCTCCACAGCAACCATGCAAGACCTGCTGGCCTTTTCCCAGCAGTTCACACTTTGATCCACCAAGTCTTTGCTCACGCCTCTTTTGCCTTCACAGGCCTCCTCCTTCTTCGTCTATCTAACAAACTCCTAATCACCTATCAGGTTCCAGCTCATATGACCCCCTCCTCTGCAGAAGCGCTCCCTGACCACCTCCCCAGGCCAGGTAGGAGTTGCTGTTGGCGCCATGGCCCCTGGGCTTGCCTTGGTTGTGGTTTATTCACCCAAGTGGATTTGGTCCCTGTCATGTCTCTTTCCCCAGTCAGACTGGGTACTCCTCAAGGCCCAGGAGAGTGTGACCTGAGGCCAGGTGTACAAGGTCCCTCTGAGGCTGGGTGTACCAGAGCACTGGCAAGTGCTTGCTGGGACTTTGTGGTTGCTGGGAATGTGATTTAAGATTGCATTACTCTTGTGGCTCTTAGAATCTCAAAATCAAAGGTTATCAGGAACAACGAGTAATCGAATTGAAGAAACACTGAGCCTTCACACCCGGAGCCAGAGCCCCTCAGAATTAGACTGTGAGAATCAGTGAACTTAGAATCCTGGAGGCACCTGGAGTGAGGTCATCTCAGAATTACAGACTTGCGTGGTTCCTGGTCAATGCTTTCATCCCCCTTTCCACCTTGGGTTCTCCATCCACCTTCTTTCCTCCCAAGCTGGACCCTTCCTGCTCCTCCTCAAATCTCATTACAGCTCCCTTCCGGGAACCTTGCCTGACTGGTCTGACCATGACCTCTGTTCCTCTGCTGGGGACACCCAGGAGAGCCTCCCTGGCTAGCAGTGTTGTGGGCTCCTGAATTTCAGTGTCTTCCTTCCTGTTGTGACAGGCAGGTGCAGCCTCCACCTCCGGACAGTTTACGATTTATTAGTACCATGGTGCACCCACCTGCCCACTTGTCTTATTCCCCATTAGCTGTCCTGTGCAGCAGCGATTCTCCCCATCTGAGCAGTGAAGAAACTGAGGCTCCAAGAGGGGGGCTGACTTCACCAAGGCTGCACAGCATGGGTGGTTCCAAGTTAGACCCTGAACCCAGGGTTCTTGCCTCTTGAATCTGGAGGCATTTGGCCATGACAGGTTGGGGTGGTGGTCCAGGACACTGTGGTTTAAGCCTGCTTAATTTAGTAGCACGGCTCTGTAGTCCTGTTCTGGGCTGTGCTCGGTTGCAGGTGAGATGGGTGGTTCGGGGTTCTGCTCTGGGTTGGGGGTGAGGTTGTCAAACCCACACTGACAATAAGTAGAACACCAGACCTTGAGTAAGCCCCTTCCTCTTTAGATCTTTCTGATCTGTAAGCCTGGCTGATCTGAGACTTACCCACTCAGATGCTGCTCTGAGCTCAGCCTTGGTGAGTGGACTCCACAGCCAGGATCTTGGGGGGTCCTCAAGAGGAAGAGAGCATCTGGGAGGGGGTACAAAGCCCAAGGGCCTCAGGAAGAGGAAGGCTGACACCACAAAGGCACGGGCTGATCCTGGGTGCTCCCAGTGCAGAAGCACAGCAGGCCAGGCAGGGGGCCTGCTGGCCTTGGGCCCTTGAAGGACATTTGGGAGGAGTCGGGGTGACTTCTAAGCTCCTCGGCCTGTGCACTCCAGCCTTGCCCTCTTCACTCCCCTTAAGCCACCAGGGTGATGAGCAGTTCCTCACACGTGTCATGTCGTCTCTTGTTCATCCTCACTCTGCTCCTCCTCTCTCTTCACCCACCTGAGTCCTACTCATCTTCCCAAATGCAGGTCAGGTGCTCTCTCCTCCAGGAAGCCTTCCCTTGTCACCCCTCCATTCTTGTGAAGCGCCTCCTTGGCTTCCTCCAGGACTGATCACCTGTGTTACCATCACCTGTTTCCAAGTATGCCTTCCCTGACTTTGAGATCTGACCTACCTCAGAGTCCCCAGGTGCCCTGCCCAACTCTGGGCATAGATGTGACAACCTTTGCGAAGGGTGAGCGAGTGAGAGTGTGGTGGGTATCTGGCTTCTGTTGGGGAATCCCTGGACTGGCTTCCCCCTGAGGCCTTCAGTATGGGAAACCTGATCTGTGGCTATTCTGGTTGTGACCTTCCTATAGCCCCTGCCCATAATTCCTGTGAGGCCTCCTGCCCTTCATGTCTTCCTGAGATACCCCCACCCTCCCTACCTTCTTTACCTGCTGAAATATTCTTTCTTACTATTTCATAAAATGAGTCTAAATCATCTTACTAGCTCAACAACCCTCTGAGGCAGGTACTGTCCTGATATCGAGAGGAAATTGAGATCTGGGTTTTGGAGTTAAGAGACTTGTCCAGGTCTTACCACTGGGAAGAGCAGAACTGGGATTTCCCACCTGCCTAGTGCCCTCTCTTGCCCCCTCGATGTGTTTCTGGGACCAGGTCCTCTGTTTCCCTTCACAGCACCCCATCTCTGGCAGACACAGGCAGCAGGGATCTCCAAACAATGATGACAGGACATTCTCCCCTACCAGGCTAGATGGGGTCTGCCACCAGGCAGAGAGGCGCATTCCAGAGCAACTCAACTGGAGGAGCTGGAATGTCGTCCAACTGCCCTGGAAATTCCACAGCGGCCTGGGAGCTGCCCAGCTCCTCCTCCTGATTTGGGCCTCACTAGCCTAGAACTGCAGAGAGGAAGACCCAGATTGGAGTAGGGACAGAGCCAGGTCGGAGGGGCCAGAGGTCTGCATGCTAGGCTTGCCCTTGATTCACTGGTGACCTTGGGTGAGACCTTGAGCTACCCCTTTCTGGCTTTAGTTTTTCTACCTGTGAGATGGGTACAATAATCACCATGACCTCCTCACACTAAGTAAGTACTGGGAAGACTAAATCCTGGGCCCTGCCAATTGGGCACTCCTGTGGCAGAAAACTGAGCAGATAGGCAGAGCTGTGGGGCTAAAAAGGGATGGCCGGGGAGCTGCCTGGGGAGAGGGCCTGGGTCTTGCAGGGTGGGAGGTAGAGGTCAGGGGCACAGCCAGACAGTCAGAGCTGCTATGCCGTTTGCTAGCTTTGTGTCCTGGGACAGGTTATTTAGCCTCTCTGAGTCTCTCGGGATTCAATGAATAGAGGTATATGAAACCACCTAACACAGAACTTGGCACAGGGACAGCATGAAACTCTTGTGGTGATATAGGTGTTAGATGATCAGGGAGGCCGTCCATGAGTGACCATAGGACCATGGGACTGCTTTTGTTGTGCCTGAGACAGGAAGATGAAGGCAGAGGCAGAGAGGGTGGGTTTTCTGGAGGGGTGGCAGGGACCAGATAAGCCAGGGCCTGAGTGCCAGGCTGAAGAGCTGGGACATTCACCTGAGGGCACTAGGGAGCCAGGGACGTGACTCAACAAAATATGGTTGGGTTTGTGTTTTAGGAAACCACATGACTGCAGTGTGAAAGCTGAACAGACCTGGCAGGGGTGGAGGCATGGAGGCCAGTAAGGAGGCTGGTGCTGTGGGCTGTGGGAGCACCTGCCTCAGGCTGCAGCACAGGGACCGTATGGTGCATGTCTGAGGAATTTCACTGGTTGAACTGATAGGACTTGGTGAGTGGTGGGCTTCCAGTGGGGTGGGGAGAGGGATGTTGTCCAGGCCGTATCAGAGATTTGAAATCCGGAAAGATGGTGCAGGCCCTTCTCAGAAATGAGTATCACTTGGAGAAAGTGATATTCTCCACTTCAGCCTATTGAGTCAAGGCATTTTCTAAGGAGGAGGAGACAGGGAGTGCACCTGGCCTAGTGGGTGAAAAGGTTGACACCCCTCACCTTGTCACAGCCTCTAGAGTAGATCAGTGGGGAGCTACCAGCCCACTAGCCATACCAGTCTGAGACCACCGGGCAAGGTGCACTCAGGAAGCAGCGGCCCAGAGGCATTTCCCACGGCCGGTCCACAAGCTATTCCTACAGTGCTCCCATCTCCTCTTCCACATCCCCCCATCCTTGGGGACCTGGCCTCAGCTGTCACAGGCCCACTCCTCCATCCTAGGGAAATGATGATGCAAAAAGAAAAGCTCAGGAGGGTTATGTCCTATTTCTCCTGTGAGGTTCTGAGGTGCTGGCGGATGGTGGGACCTGCCCACACAGAGGGTCACCTCCACCACGCAACTGTCCCCCAACCTGTGCTTGGTGTGTGCAGGGGGCTCCAAGGTGAGACAAAAACCAGGGCCAGAATTCAGGAGGGCTGGGCTCTAGCTTTGGCTCTGTCCCTGACTTACTGTGAGGCCTGCGCCTCAGTTTCCTCCTCTATGAAACAGGGTTTGGCACAAGAGATTTCTGAATGCTGTTTCAGGCCCTGATGGTCTAGACTGCATCTTCCTGTGTGTGTGTGTTTGTGTGTGTGCGTGTGTGTGTGTGCACGTGTACATCTGTGTGTGTCCACTGCACGTACACCTGAGTTCAACTCTGCATGCCTCTGCATATCTTGGTGCGTCTGTGCCAGTGTGTGATCAGGTGTGGCATATGTGTGTTTATAACACCTATGGAGGAATGCTTAGAGGTAGGAGTGGGGAGCAGGGGGTCTCTAGAGACCTTGCTTGGGCAAAAGTGTGTTGGCAGAAGTACACTAGAATGCACACTGGACAAAGAGGGTATTGACGTTTCCTGCTATGGGGCCAAAGCACAGAACCAAGACCTTGGAAAGAGACCCTGGAGGCTTGAAGGCTTGGCTCAGCTGTGCAGGACATTGGGGAGACCTTCCCCCAGGCAGTACCACCGCTCTGTGAAAGGGGAGCCCAGGGAAGGAGGCTGTGAATAACCAATCCCTGGAAGACATGAGCTGGGGTTTGGGTGTGAGCCGAGAAGGCCCTCAGACCAGAACAAACACCAGGCCGCCTCTCTGCCTGCCTCTGGTCAAAGTTACCACAGAGGAGGCAGCCCTGTGGGGGACTGTCCTGGCTGGGTTTCCATGACCCTGAGCCTGAGCTTTCTCCACCTCCCTGTGTCTGCAGGAGCTTCTTGGGGCAGCAGCACGGCCTGCCCAGAAAAATGTTGGAGGCTGGGCGTGGCCCCAGGCCTGGGGACCTGTTTTTCCTGTTTCCCGAAGAGTTCCCTGCAGCCCGGTCCAGGCGTGTGCATTCATGAGTGAGGAATCCGAGCAGGCTCTGAGCATCCTGACCTGGAGAGCAGGGGCTGGTCAGGTACGGGTGTGTGTGGGTGGGTGGGTGCCCCGACCGGGAGGTGAGGGCAGGTGAGTGTGCCGTTGTGCCTGTGTCTGCCCTGAACTGGCTTAGATCAAGGGATCCGAAGGCAGGTGCCGTGCCCTGCTCCCTCATCCCAGGCTGTGATAAATTTAGGCTTTGAAGCCAGATAGCCCTGTGTGTCAAGCCTAATTTTTCCAATGCCTGGCAGTGTGATCTTGAACAAATAGGTTAACCTTTATGGCAATATCTACCAAGGAGTGGGGTGGGGGAGGAAGATGCCATTTGAAAGTTGCTCAGCCCAAGTCTGGCCCCTATAAAGCAAGGTGGGTGGAGAATCCTGATCAGACTGACACAGATCCTGAGGTAGGTAGAAACCTGTGGCAGGCCTCAGACAGCCGACCTATCTCCAGAATACATGTGTCCAATCCCCTCCCACTGGCACTTCCCTGACCTGTCCAGAGAAGGGCAGAGTCTCCTGGGCTCCTGAGGCAGTTGAAGGAGACATAAGCAGGGACATAAGCATGTCCCAGGTGGGCCAGGACCCCTAGAGGGGCTGGGTTGTCCCCTGCATATGTAGGGTTAGCAGCTAAGAAATCTTTAAGCATTCTTGTCCTTGAGAGGCCCTCAGAGAAGCAAGTAATTTGAAAGTAATTTGATCAAAGTTACACCAGTGGGGATGGGCTGCAATTCCCATTCAGGTGAAAGGGGCTGCAGGAGGGAGGTAGTGGAGTCCCTGTTTACAGGAGTATGCAGAGGCTGCAGAAGGGCTTGTGTCTGTGTGCACCTCCTCTGGGCCCCCATAGCCTCTTGTGCTTGCTTCCTTCATTCATTCGTCCATTCATTCTCTCATTCCTATAATACCTCCTGTGGTCGGGCCTCCTGCTGGATGATAGGGACAGAGAAAAGCATCAGATGGACCCAGCCCTTAAGGAGCACCTGAAATGTGTTGGGATAGAGGATGGAAGGACAAATTACCAAAGGGCTAAGAAACATTCCCAGGGATGATGGAGGGAGAGCTTCAGAGATGAGAAGATCCTTTGGGATGATGGAATGCAGTGTGGGTGGGTCCTGGGAAGGCTTTCCAGTGAGAGAGAACAGCATGAACTCAGGCAGAGGAGCCTGGAAGGGCCCTTACAAGGCTCTGGTCTCCCCTTCAGACTAGGAAGTCCTTGGGACAGGACCAGCCACCGGGACACAGTGGGGCTGGTGAGCGTTGGACAGTCAGGTGGAGCCGTCTCTAGACCCAGGGGCATCAGGGTAAGGAGAAGCAGAGGGGAGACTTAAGGGAGAGGGCTGGGGACTTGGCTGTCCCTCTAAGGCAGGGGCTGGGGCTAGGAAAGATGTACTCACAGGTTGGTCAGCCAGCCTGCAGAGCAAGAGGGCTGGCTGGGTGAGTCTGGCCCGGGGCCATGGTGATGGAGTTCCCAGAAGGCCTGGGAGGGTGGGGGCCAGGACGTCTTAAAACAGGTGGAAGGGGCAGCTCCCTCAGTTCAAGGGAGACAGGGAAGTCTCCACCCCTCTTCTCAGTGTCAGAGATTCCACCACTAGGGATTAGCAGGAAACTTCATGCAGGGTGATGAGATGGTGACTGTGGAGGGAAGTCAGGCCTTGGCACTGGGGCAGCAGCAGAGCAGTGGTGTGGAGGGGAAACTGGGCGTTTGTGTCTCAATCATGGAGGAAGTCCCCTCCCTGTCCAAGAGGGGCAGAAGACCTCCCGGGGGCATTTAGTGGCTGCAATTCTCAAGGCTGGGGATTTGATTAGGGTCTGAGACTTCTGAGGGAAGAAAATGCCTGGTGTCACCCGGTGCTTTGTGGCCAAGCTAGACTCGAACCTCAGCTTACTGATCCCCAGGCAGGGACTCTGTCCCGGGAGGGAATGTGGTCCCTGCTTAATCTCACACGGGGGCCTCTCCTTGCTACTTCTGCAACTTCTGTGAGCAAGCGACTCTCAGCTGCCCTTCTGAAGCTCCGGACCTGATGGACCCAGCCTGCGCCCATCCTCACACTTGCCATGACTGACACCAAATTCCTCCTCTCCCACCGCTCTGGAGCAGCCTCCAGAGCCTGCCTCCAAAACATCTCCGAGGCCTCTCCTCTCACAGGGCCTGGGGCCTGCCCCAGTTTCAATCTTGGTGTCACTCCCCTGGCCCACCACACTCACCTCCACAGCCCCCAGTCAGGACCTCCAGTCCCACCTCCACTGTGGCCTAAGGTTTCTGGAAAAGGCCACTGCTAGCTGAACCTTGGCACTTATAACACCACCGTGTGCCTACTGTGTGCAGCCTCTACTCTAGATATTTTACACAGAACACTGGACCCTCACAATAGTCCTTATAGTGCAGATTCTAGTAATTGTCCCATTTTACAGCTGAGGAAATAGAGGCAGTCTGGCTCCAGTGCTTAGGTTCTTAGTCACTGGGTTCTCTGCACTGAAGGATAAAGAGCCATGAGTTCAACAGGTGGAGATAAGGGCCATGAATGAACTCCAGGTAGAAGGAGCAGCAGGAACTAGGGCTGGGACGCAAGAGCTTTGGGCACATTCAGGAAACTGCAGGTCATAGGGGTTGGGGCGGGTGAGGTTGGCAGAGGCTCAGTTATGAAAATCTCAGGTACCAGACTTGAGTGCTGGGCTTTCTCCTGAGAGAGGGCAGGAGCCCCAGGAGAGTTCCAAGTAGGAGAATACTTTCTTTGACAAAGGCCACTCTGGATTTTGGTGGGTGGGTGGGGCTGGGGCTGGAGGAGAAAGGCCAATGCAGTGGTTCCAGCAACAAGAGGTAGAGCCTGGCACTAGGCTGGCAGCAGGAACTGCCCTGACCCTGGGTAAGACGGGTCTCAGCCACTTGACCCTGCTAGAGCCCCAGCCTCCACCTGTCCCTTCTTAACTTGGCACCACATAAGCTTCTCCAGGCCTCCTCCCCCTGGGGAGCCATCTGTGTCCATGGCAGGGGGAACAAAGGTGCAGGCCCCCTTCCTTGTGAGTGCACATTTGCTGACAATAGGAGACAGAGAAGATCTAGGAGTCTTGGTGAAAGAAGGGAAACTGCTGGGCACTGTGGCTCAGGCCTATAATCCCAACACTTTGGGAGGCCGAGGTGGGTGGATCACTTGAGTCCAGGAGTTCAAGACCAGCCTGGGCAACATGGCAAAACCCCATCTGTACTATAAAATACAAAAAAGTTAGCTAGGTTTGGTGGCACACACCTGTAATCCCAGCTACTTGGGAGGCTGAGACTCGAGAATTGCTTAAACTCAGGAGCAAGAGATCACGCCACTGCATTTCAGCCTGGGCGATGTAGTGAGAATCTGCCTCAAAAAGAAAAAAAAAGGAAGGAAATCGAAGGACCTTTACACTTGCCCCCTAGCACCCCTAATCTCAACCTCATGGGCTTTGAACTGCTGCTGTGAAGCCAAGACTGGAAGGGAAGTCTGGATCTATGAGAGTGGATGTCACGTGCCCTGCAGAGTTCCCCAGTCCCTCAGGATTCCAGCATCTAAAATTAGGGGAATTAGGCCATAATCCTGTAATCCTGATACTTTGGGAGAACGGGTGGGCAGATCACTTGAGGTCAGAAGTTCAAGACCAGCCTGGACAACATGGTGAAATCCCATCTCTACTAAAAATACAAAAATTAGCTGGGCATGGTAGCATGTGGCTGGAATCACTTTAACCTGGGAAGTGGAGGTTGCAGCAAGCTGAGATCGCACCACTGTTCTCCAGCTTTGGCGACAGAGTGACTCTGTCTAAAAATAAATAAATAAAATAAAATAAAATGGAGGGAATTATATGGCCTCAGATTCTCAGGATGAGGAGGACTCACACTTCATCTGCCCTTTCCATCCTCCCAGACACACCTCCACACAGGCACAAGACCTTCTGCAGCCTCTGCTAGAGAGCCACTTGCATAATCCCACAAACAGGGAGTTCACTACCTCCCTCCTAGAGCCACTTCCAGGGGCTGGACCTGGTCAGGAGTGCAGTGGTGTGATCACAGCTCACTGCAGCCTCAACCTCCTGGGCTCAAATGATCCTCCTGCCTTAGCCTGCAAGTAGCTGGGACTACCGGTGCATGCCAGCATGCCTGGCTAACTGGAAAAAAAAAATCTGAAGAGATGGGGTCTCACTTTGTTGCCTGAACTGGGCTTGAACACCTGGCTCCTGCCTTGGCCTCTCGAGTAGCTGGGATTATAGGCGTGAGCCACCACACCCAGCTTGAACTAACTTTTTTTAAAGGTCAGATAGTGAATATTTTAGACTTCACATGCCATATGGTCTTTATCACAACTACTCAACTCTTTATAAACAGACGGGTATGGTTGTGTTCCAATAAAGCTGAATTTACAAAAGCAGACTGGAACTGGCCTTTGGACTATACTTTGTCTGCCTCTGTTCTCAAGTTTGACAATTGTGTGATCCTAATATTCATAGATCTCATGCATTCTCAAAGTTTCAGAGCTTGGACGTTCTGGGTCCAGATCCAAGTCAGATGGCAACAAAAGTCCTGGACAGATGGTTGTGTTGGGTCCCCTAGAGGCTCTCTGGCCACAACTCTGATGTCCCCACTCCTCCCTTCCCTTCAGGGCTATGGCAGCAGACCTGGAACCCTGGAATGGCACCATCAATGGCACCTGGGATGGGGATGAGCTGGGCTACCGGTGCCGCTTCAACGAGGACTTCAAGTACGTGCTGCTGCCTGTGTCCTATGGCGTGGTGTGCATGCTTGGGCTGTGTCTGAACGCCGTGGCACTCTACATCTTCTTGTGCCGCCTCAAGACCTGGAATGCCTCCACTACGTACATGTTCCACCTGGCTGTGTCTGATGCACTGTATGCGGCCTCCCTGCCGCTGCTGGTCTATTATTACGCCCGCGGCGACCACTGGCCCTTCAGCACCGTGCTCTGCAAACTGGTGCGCTTCCTTTTCTACACCAACCTTTACTGCAGCATCCTCTTCCTCACCTGCATCAGCGTGCACCGGTGCCTGGGAGTCTTACGCCCTCTGCGCTCCCTGCGCTGGGGCCGGGCCCACTATGCTCGCCGGGTGGCTGCGGGCGTGTGGGTGTTGGTGCTGGCTTGCCAGGCCCCCGTGCTCTACTTTGTCACCACCAGCGCTCGCGGAGGCCGCATCACCTGCCATGACACCTCGGCGCCGGAGCTCTTCAGCCGCTTCGTGGCCTACAGCTCAGTCATGCTGGGCCTGCTCTTCGCGGTGCCCTTTGCCGTCATCCTTGTCTGTTACGTGCTCATGGCTCGGCGGCTGCTAAAGCCAGCCTACGGGACCACGGGCGGCCTGCCTCGGGCCAAGCGCAAGTCCGTGCGCACCATCGCCGTGGTGCTGGCCGTCTTTGCCCTCTGCTTCCTGCCCTTCCACGTCACCCGCACCCTCTACTACTCCTTCCGCTCGCTGGACCTCAGCTGCCACACCCTCAACGCCATCAACATGGCCTACAAGGTCACCCGGCCACTAGCCAGTGCCAACAGTTGTCTTGACCCCGTGCTCTACTTCCTGGCTGGGCAGAGACTCGTCCGTTTTGCCCGAGATACCAAACCACCTACTGGCCCCAGCCCCACCACCCCGGCTCGCCGCAGGCTGGGCCTGCGCAGATCTGACAGAACTGACATGCAGAGGATAGAAGATGTGTTGGGCAGCAGTGAGGACTCCAGGCGGACAGAGTCCACGCCAGCTGGTAGCGAGAACACTAAGGACATTCGGCTGTAGGAGCGGAACATTCCGGCCTGAGCAGGTTTATATTGAGAAGCTGTAGGGGACCAGGAATTGTGCAGAGGGCATGGTCTCCCCAGATATGGACCATCAGTGACTCATGCTGGATGACCAAGGAAGCCATGATCCCGTGCACTGTCATTTGACAGGGGATCAGGATATTCTCCAGAGTCAGCTGTTCCCATAACCCCTAGTCATTATTTGTGTGTATGAGTTGGTGTAATTAAGTTTCAAGAAAGGTGAGAGTTGAAGGTCAGTGACACCCCCGGCCTGACTCCCACGCAAATAGCTGGCTGTACTGCCAAGGTACCTAGGTAGGAGTTCAGCCTAATCAAGTCAAATGGAGAAACAGGCCCAGAGAGGAAGGTGGCTTACCAAGGTCACATAGCAGAGTTTGGAGCTGAGCTACCTGGGGTGGGGGCCAAATCACAGGTTGGCCAGAAAACCCTGGTAAGTAGTGAGGGCTGAGTTCACGCAGTGGTCTGGAATGAACTGGGTGCCAAGGTGGACTCAGCTCTGAGGAGTACCCCCAGCCCAAGAGATGAACATCTGGGGACTAATGTCATAGACCCATCTGGAGGCTCCCATGGGCTGGGAGCCAGTGTGAGGCTGTAACTTATACTAAAGGTTGAGTTGCCTGCTGAGCTGTGCCCTATTGTATGGTTGGGGGATAAGGATATGGCAAGGAAGCTTTCACCAGCCACAAAAGGGTCCTTTCTCCAATTCAATCCCTCCTGCCACCTGCCTTCTGACTAGCTGTCTCAGGAGTAGTCTCTTATCAGGGATCCTCTCTCCAGACCCCAGATCATCCCCCACTCTTTTTTTTTTGAGATGGAGTCCCGCTCTGTTGCCCAGGCTGGAGTGCAGTGGTGCTATATCAGCTCACTGCAACCTCCACCTCCCCAGTTCAAGCGATTCTCCTGCCTCAGCCTCCCAAGTAGTTGGGACTACAAGTGTGTGCCACGACGCCTGGCTAATTTTTTGTATTTTTAGTAGAGATGGGGTTTCACCATGTTAGCTAGGTTGGTCTCAATCTCCTGACCTGGTGATCCACCTGCCTTGGCCTCCCAAAGTGCTGGGATTACAGGTGTGAGCCACTGTGCCCAGCCCCAGTCATCCCCCACTTTAAAGCCAGCTGACTTCTGTGTCTGACTCTGTGCCGAGCACAGAGAAGAGTCAGGTGCAGTCTGAGACCTTGAGATCTTCCAGTTTAGGTGATGGCCAGTCTTGTGCTGATAAATGTGAAATCATTTAACTGGAGCTCCAATTTAACTGGGAACCCCTTCTTTGTAGAACTGCCCATTTCCATGGTGCAAAAACTCTTATCATGGCCAAATTCAAACTATAAACATGATGTCAACTTCCTTGTAAAATTTCCGAAAATTTAACAATTGGTTCTTGCAAGCAGGTACAAGTCACTCTAGCACATCATTGGATAATGCCGAGTGGCTGGGCCTGTGAGCTGGGGATCAGGGAAGGGTTCCTGGAGTGGAGAGACTCCTGAGTTGTAGCTTCTGAGAAAAGCAGCTCACCAGGAGAACACCCACATGCAGGATGCCTCCCAGGCAAAGACATGGGGCAAGAGGGCAGGGTGTACAGGAGCCATAAGCAGTCTGGACAGCTGGCTCTAGGCTGAAGGTAGGGTTGGAGCTAGGTCACAAGGAGGCCAAGTCAGGGTTCCCTCCTTGCCCTGACCCTAAGGATTCCTTTGCATTGGGGGTAAATATGAAAGAGACTCAGTCCACCTCCTATCCATCCTCTTCCTTCTGGGAAAATCCCAGATACATGGCAGGATGGTGCTCAGGCTGGGTCAGGACTTAGCATGGGGAAGATGGGTCTCATCCATGATAGGTTCTGGGTCTAGCCAGGACCACTCCGGGCTGATGTGTGGAGCTCAGCTGGACAGGGCCCAGCCCTAACCTTTGAACAGGGATAGGGCAAAGCTGACAGGCCTCACTCTTGATCTGAAGGACAGGGACCCGCTCCTCTCCCACTCTCCTTGTGGGCCCACTCTGCCTGCCTCTGACCTCTCTACCCTTCCCACGCTCCCAAGGCATCCCCAAAGGTTGTTGTATTTGGAGCCTGACTCCACAGCGCCCTCATGTGACAGAGACCCATCACAGACTGTAACCCAAATGATTACTTTGCACTGTGCCATGTGGGTGACATGCCCAGAATAGTGTGAGATATTCACCTCTCACATTCTAGGTTCTATACTTCTGTTAATGTAGCCAATGTCCTTCTGAGCATTTTTTTTTTTTTTTTTTGAGACGGAGTTTCACTCGTTACCCAGGCTGAAGTGCAATGGCACGATCTCGGCTCACCGCAACCTCCGCCTCCTGGGTTCAGGCAGTTGTCCTGCCTTAGCCTCCCAAGTAGCTGGAATTACAGGCACGTGCCACCATGCCCAGCTAATTTTTGTATTTGTAATAGAGATGGGGTTTTGCCATGTTGGCCAAGATAGTCTCAAACTCCTGATCTCAAATGATCCACCTGCCTCAGCCTCCCAAAGTGCTGGGATTACAGGTGTGAGCCACTGCACCCGGCCCTTCTGAGCTTTCTTAGTGACTGCCTCTTACAAACCATCCTTGAGCCTTTCCTGCAGACCCGAGCCACTCCCTTTTCTACCAACTGCTGCTCAAGCTGAACCTCATCCCAGTTTATAGGGATCCCCTCCCCAGGTGAGCTTTGCTGGTTGAGAGTGTGAATGCTGAGCTCTGACCCTCTCAGCCCTGCTTAGACCTGGAGGCGGGATTGTATCCCATGATTTTGGGGGCCCTTGAGTGTGCATCTGTGGTTGGGGTAGGCTAGGACCTCCCCAAGCCCAAGTTCCCTGGTCACCATTCTTCTCATGTCCTGCCCACCTACCCTCCTGCATCTGCCCCAAACCAGACACCATGGTGGATGGAGACAATACCATTGCCTAGAGCCTGGAAGCTCTCCTTGAACCACTGCCTGTAGATTTCTTGGGACATAGGACCATAAGGACACAGGAGGGGCTTATTCACCTTCTAATCCTGTGGCAGGCGCAGGTGGGGGTGAATACTGGAGACCCTGGGCAAACCAGGGATGGCGCAAGACCCCACCTCGGGAACCCTGTTGGACTGCCTGGCCCCTTGGTATGCACAGCCGGCCTTGCTGCTCAATGCCCAGGCCACTCACCTTGAGGGTGAGGTTCCTGCCCTGATGCCTCATGCTATTTTCGGCCCAAGTAAGACTAGAATTTTCCATTCCTGGCCCCAGACCATTGTCCAGCAGTGATGTGGGGGGAACCTGCCTGCCCTCAAAATATCTTCTCTTACCCTCCAGGCCTCCCTGCCCCCTCTACACCTCCCTAACCTGACATCACTTCCTGGGCTGTTGACTCATGAAGGCCACTGTGAAAGGGCACGTGACTCGCCCAGCCACCCGGCTGACCCTAGGGATTATCCAGCCCAGCTGCAGACTCAAGGCCAGAGACGGGTGGGGCTGAGCTCAAGGTCATTCAGCAGGTCAGCGTGGCGCCTGGATATAAGCCAGTGCCTTGGTGGCGATTCTGCTGTCACTCACATTGCCCAGCTCTTCTTGCCCAGGGTGACTGGAATGGAGCCATAGAGCTGAGGCCAGGGACAGGGCAGAGATAGGAGGAAGGGGAGGGTGGAGAGTTGAGTGCTGGGGAGTAAATGTTGGCGGATGTGCCTGCAGCAGCTGTTCTCGATGAACTGCGTGACATCAGGGCCGGGTCCCTGGCACACAGGAGTCTGCCCTGGCTGGCAGATGTCCCAGGACCCAGGAGGGAGGGGGTCATCCCAGGGGACATTTCCACTTTTACCCCAAAAGGTTAGAAGAGGCCCTAAACAACATGTTATCCACACATGGCTGCTCCAGTACAAGCCACCAGAGCTACCTCTTTGCCACCCTTGTCATGGCAGATTTGGGCTGCTGTGTTTAGAATCAGGCACATGGGGGAGAGAAGTCGTGTATTGACCCATGTCCCATGCACCCTGCGGGACCTTCCCATCTATGTTGTATGGTGGATGCTTCACAGCAACCCTGGGAAGTAGATGTTATGATCCCATTTAGCAGATGAGGAAACAGGAGAAGTGAGGACTTGCTCTGAGTTATCCAGGCCACCAGGTCGAGTCAGTGAGTCCAGGCCACCTCATGGCCAGAGTCATGCCTTTCAGTGCCCCACCACGCTCACAACCCTGCAGGGCAGGAGGGTCTGTAATTCAAGATGGCATGATTCAAGGTGACAGAGGTGGTGTAGCAAGGATGTGAGGACACAGATGCTCCACCCAGACCACCTCAGTGTCCCTGTTGTCCCCACTTTCCTGGCTGGGGCCCCTTGGGCAAGTTACCTAATCCTGCAGCACCTCAGTTTCCCATTTCCAAAATGAGATGCTACCTTCCACTCAGGGCACTGAGGGGCTTCCCTACATTGTTAGCGTGAAGTCCTCCTCACAGTGCCCAGTGTGTGGTCAGCATTTATGTGGCTGGCACTGGGCCGGGGCTACGGAGGCCAAGCAGTTGGGCCCTGCCCTCGCAGAGTTGACATCACTTAGTATGTAACCACATTGGGCTACATGTTCTGAAGGAGAGGATGGTGTGCCTGGTCAGTGAGCAGCAGTCGGCCATATGTCTCCAGGGACCCCCTCCATGTAGTGTGGGAGGAAGGAAGCAGGTCTGTCCTGGGGGAATGTGTGGGGGCACTTCTGCCCTGCGTGGCAGTGGGTAGATTTCAAGACCACGGCCTGTGCTGTTTACAGAAACTTGCCCAGGTGCCCGGCTGTGGGAGGGCAGCATGGAGAGGAGGAAGAGGAGACTCCTAATAGCAAGCTTCAAGGCCTTGCCCCTTCAGGCTAGATAGCTCCCACCCTCCCACACAGCAGGGTAGCCATTACTTTCTGACTGGGGTGTCCACCATGGCTCTCTGCAGGCACCCCTTACTTTGCTAAGAGTCCAGAGATCCAGGAGGAGAAGACTGGCCTGGAGCTGGGCCAGCGCAGGCAGCACATGGGCAGCTTTTGCTGTGTGACCTGAGGCCACCTGCCTGCCTTCTCTGGGCTGCACTCTGGGGCCTGGAGACCCGTTCCACGGTTCCAGTTTCCCCACCTCAGCAAAGGCATCAGCTGCCTGCATCCTCATCCAAGGCACAACCAACAGCGGCTCCCCGCAGCCATTTCCAAGACCCTCCAGGCCCTCAGTTCTGAGGACTAGGGTGGAGGCAGTGTTTCTCCCCAGCATCCAGTGACCAGAGAAGTGAAGTGACTCCATTGCTGCCACACAGAGCCACACAGTGCGATATTAGGAGCTCCTGCCTCCTGCAAGGTGAAGGGTGGGGCTTGGCCAGGAGTGTTCAGGCCACAGGGTGAGGGGTGTGCTTGTGGGGGTAAGAACTGAGCCTGAATTAAACTCATCCTCCTCTGCCCTGATGCACTGTGCAACTTGGGGGAATAGCTACCTCTCTCTGGGCCTCACCTTCCCCATCTTTGATAGATTGGTTCTGCCCAGCCGCTCCTCCTCCAGTAGGGGATTCCTGGGCTTGCCTCTGTCTTGGCTCCAGCTCAGGTGTCCAGTCTCAGCCCTGTCCCAGCCAGGAACAATGGGCCAGGCAGGGCCAGTCACCCGCTGTCCCTAGGGGCTCCACCCATGGTCCTGGGCTATTTTCAGCCCTTGCAGATGGAGTCAGAAAAGGATTTTCCACTCCCAGCACAATGACTATCCTGGACCATTGTCCAGGAGTGACGTGGGGGATCTGCCTGCCCCAAAATATCTCCTGCCCCTAGTCTCCAAGCCTCTCTGCCCTGCTCCTTTCATACCCCCATCCTGAGGTCATTTCCTGGGGCTGTTAACTCCTGAAGGCCATTGTGAAAGAGCATGTGAGACCCCTGGGAGACACAACCAGCTGGAATCAGTTTTCCCTCCTGGCAGGGACCCCAGGGATTGCTTGTCTGCTTAATGGAACTGGTGGCCCAGGGAGGGCTGTGCCTTACCCAGAGTCACACAGCAGTCAGGGTGGAGCCTAGAGATAAGCCCAGGGCTCTTCGGCTGCTCCCACTGCCTCAGCCAAGTTCACTAGCTCCAGTCTGTGCCTCCTGGAACTGAGAGCTCACCACTGAACTTCCCGGCATAGGCACTGGGGAAGCAGCTGAATGATGTGGGTGGAGAGGTGCATGCAGCTCAGGCTCTGACCTTGAAGTGAGCTCAGCGCAGGGGCCTGATCTTAAACCCTGTTCTCCCCATTGAGTCCCATTTTTACCAAACATGGCTATTAGGGATTGAACATGTGTGTCCCCCACCCCGCAAATCCATATGTTGAAATCTCAACTCCCAAGGTGATGATACTAGAAGGCGTGGCCTTTGGGAGGTAACCAGGCCCTGAGGGTGCAGCCCTCATGAATGGTGTTAGTGCCCTTAGAGAAGGGACCCCAGAGAGCTCCTCACCCTCTTTCTGTCATGTGAGGATGTAATGAGAAGTTGGCAGTCTGCCACCTGGAAGAGGTCCCTCATCAGATCTCAACCATGCTGGCATCCTGATCTCAGACTTCCAGTCTCCAGAATGGTGAGAAATGAAATGTTTGTTGTTTCTAAGCCACCCAGTCTATGGCATTTTGTTAGAGCAGTCCAAACTGAGTGTGACTGAACTCAAGGTGACCGGGGCAAGGGTAGGGGGCACAGGGCAGCTGAGGCAGGAGCAGGGTTCTGGCCAGTTCATCCATTGTCAGGTCTGGGACTCCAAACTCAGTTTCTTCATCTGGAAAATTGAACTGATAATACCAATACCTCTTTTCCCGGTTTACTAGACAGCAGCAACGCAGTGAGGCACAAACACGCAACTGTTGATCTTCCTCCCACCCATGCTCCCTGCTCAATGATGGGTGATTTTCCTTTCCCATCCAGAAACTGCACATTTGGCAAACTCCAAACTTTTGAGTCACTTTTGGGTAACAAAGTCAGGATTAAAATTTCCATCCCCTGCTTAATTGAACACTCACTTGTCCTTTCCCCTTGTGCTGTGAGGACCCTCCTCACTCCGCTTCTGTGTCCGTCTCTCTAGGTATTGGGACAGGGTGGGGAGAAAAGGGACCAGTGTGTCTTTCCTGGTGCTGCTACAGACCTCTCTTGTTGACCTTGCTTCCTGGGCTGCCAGTGCCCCCTGAACAGAACCCACTAAACATCAGTCCACACCTTTGTAAAAATAGTCTCTCCGCTAAGCTATCCCAAAGTGACCTGATTGGAGTGTGCAACGTCTTTCCTGCTGGGACTCTGACTGATGCCCCAGTCTCCCTGAGTGATTTTCCTAGTGCACCCTGCTGGGGGTATGAAAGCCTGTCCCCGATCCAAACTTGGCTGAGATCTTACAGCTGCCTGCTGTAAAGATGTCTTTTAAGTTCATGGAACCCCAGGTTCAGTGTGTAGAGTGAGGGTGGAGGGTGTAGAGAGCTGGGGTAAGGAACCCTGAGAAGGTGTCTTACTCCAGTTATTTCCAGGTTTCTTTAGAAAGCAGACTATTTTACCCCATGTGTCCTCAGATTTCTGTCTTGGAACCAAATTCCAAATCAGTAGCCACACGAAAAGTTCCCTTCTCTCCAGCGTGGAATTAAACTATCAGACCTGCTTCTGTGACCAAAGCAACTGTAAAACGCGGGGGAGGAAATTAAAAGCCTGCTGCCTTAGTCCACAGTGTTTGCTGTCTCTGTGTGTGTGCATGTGTGTTTGTGTGTGTGTTGATTGATCACGTCTGTTCGAGGGAGGTTGGTGAGGGGTGAGGGGCAGTCCTGGCAGGTACCGAGTGGACACTTGGAGACAGAAGGGCTGCAGGTGGGCATACAGGTGAAGGGGCAATGAGGGCTGGCAGGAGTCAGACTAAACCCCGGAGGTGGAAGCAAAATGGCAGGAAGAGATGGGAATGAATAAAGGGTCCAGCTGCCCTCTGTGGTGCCCCCTCTCCTTCCCTCCTACTTTTCCTCTCTTTCCCTCCACACTGCCCATCATACTTTCCTTTTGCCTGCTGTCCCCAGATTCCTTGGGAGCAAAGGGAGGCGGACATGGACAGCCTACTCTGTGCTCTGCCCTGGCTATTTAGTCTGCGGAGAGCCCCAGGTTGGTTGGTGCTGCACTGCTTCCCCCTGGTGGCCAGAACTGGCAGCAAGAAACAGGGGGCTGGGTTCCAGACCTTTGCCCATGGGGTGTTAAAAAAATGGTCTATGACTGTGGCCAGGCTATTGAGGGTGATGGTCCTGGGGGAGGGCTGACAAATGAAACAGAGAACACAATTTACATACAATGTCTTGCCGACATACCCTGACTTGCCAACAAGGTGATGGTGCCTGACCTAAACAATGATGTCTGTCTCCTGCACCCCCAGCCAGGGGTAGAGATAATTCCCTGCCAAGCAATACCTTTTCCTACTCTCCACAGGGCCCTGGGCCTCCCCAGCTCAGCCTCAGGGACATAGTACATCTGCCCAGGGCAAGGACATGGAAGGGTGTAATCATGCCCCTTCCAAAGACTGGGCACCCCTAACTCCCTCTTCTACCTTATTCCAGTAACCCCACCCTCACCAGAGCCCCCTGCCTTTGTATGCCCCTAGAAGTCCTTGTCTTCTCACAGGGCAGCCTCCAAAACTGCACTCCGTGCCCCAGGGAAGAGTGACTAGCACAGCCGGTTCTCCCAGCACCCTTAGGAACTCCATCTGGGAAGAAGTTGGGGTTCACTCACCACACCCAAGATACCTGTAATTTGGATCCCACCAGCATGTCCATAGGTAAGATGTGTCTGACTCCTGTGGAAGTCATGTGCAAGGGAAGGGCTGAGTTTGGGGTCCTTGGGTGGATCCAAACTCAGAAGTAAGATGGGAAGCCTCAGCCAGCCTCCTAGGCTGCCCTTCATGTCCTCCCTCTAGATCTCTGCACACCTCCCACCTACAAGCTTTTCCTCCCCATAAACCCAGATGCCCTCATTCATAGCACAGAAAGCACACAAATCCTGGAGTCAGAGAGATTTGCGTTTGAATCCCAGCTCAGCCAGTCATCAACCAGGCAAACTTGGGTACCTCAGTTTTCTCATCATAACAAAAGGGGGTAACCAGCCAGGCATGGCAGCTCACACCTGTAATCCCAGCACTTTGGGAGACCAAGGTGGGTGGATCACTTGAAGTCAGGAGCTCAAGACCAGTATGACCAACATGGTGAAACCTCGTCTCTACTAAAATATAAAAATTAGCCAGACATGGTGACACGTGCCTGTAATCCCAGCTATCCAGGAGGCTGAGGCAAGAGAATCACTTGAACCTGGGAGGCGGAAGATGGAGGTTGCAGTGAGCCGAGATGGTGGCACTGCCTGGGTAACAGAGTGAGGCTCTGTCTCAAATTAAAAAAATTAAAGAGGGGGAAGGGAGATAACCATACTCACATCATAGTTTATTTGTGCTGTCTGTTTCCCCTAGAATGAAAGTTTCTGAAACGGCAGGGATCTCCGTTTTGGTCACTGCTTTATCCTCTGGGCACATCAGTGCCTGGGACATTCCTTTCCTTTACAAAGCAAATCAATTATTTTGCAAGTTTCACAATGGCCCTTTGAGGCAGGAATCTTATTATTACCCACTCATTCATTAATTTATTCAACAAATATTTAATAAGTGCCTACTATGTACTAGGTACTGCTCTATGTAGTACTGAAAATCATTAGTGAATAAAAAAGACACCTGTCTGCTGGGCAGGGTGACTCACGCCTGTAATCCTAGAATGTTGGGAGGCCGAGGTGGGCAGATTGCCTGAGCTCAGGAGTTCGAGACCAGCCTGGGCAACACACTGAAACCCTGTGTCTACTAAAATACAAAAGAAATTAGCTGGGCATGGCAGCATGCACCTGTAGTCACAGCTACTTGGGAGGCTGAGGAAGAAGCATTGCCTGAACCTGGGGGGCGGAAGTTGCAGTGGGCCGAGATTGCACCACTGCACTCCAGCCTGAGCAACAGAGAGAGACTCTGTCTTTAAAAAAGAGAGAAGAAAAAAAAGACAAAAGCTGCCCTTGAGCTTACATTCTAGTGAGGGGAGAGATAACAAACAATGGACATAATGGAACGTAAACTATATGGTATGTTAAAAGGTGGCAAGCGCTGTAGGAGAAAAAAACAAGAGGGATTGTGAGGGCAGAGAGGTTGCAATTTTAAATAGGGTGGTTGGGCAAAAAGGAGCCACTTGAGCAAATACTTAAGGGAGGTATGGGAGTTAGCCAAATGGAAAAGAGCTCACACAGAGAGGGACCAGTGCGTACAAAGCCCTAAGGGCTGTGGCTGGGTGGAGTGGGTCTGGAGGAGAGATGAGGGGAGGAGAGGAGTCCAGAGGCTGGGGGAGATCTGGTAGGACACTGAATGAGAAGGGAAGCCATGCGAGGTCTGAGGAGGAGATAGAAGATGACTTGTGTTTTAGAAGGATTGGTCTGTCAGCTGTGCTGAGAATAGACCACAGTGAGGCAAGGTCAGAAATAGTGACAACAGGGAGGTGGTGTTGCAGAAATCCAGGTGAGAGCTCAGTCTGAGGCCTCGGACCAGGTGGTAGCCATAAAGGTGGGGAGAAATGGACCAGTTCCAAATGTATTCCGAAGGAAGAAGGAACCGCATTCCTTATGGATCAGATAGGAGGAGGTGGTAAAAGAAAAGAGGGGCAGAGGATGCCTACAACGTTTTGTAGACGGTGAACCTGGGATCTAGAGAAGATGTAGTGTGGGGCCACACAGCAAGTCAGTGGGTGGGGTTGAAGGAGAGGAGGACGGGACTGGGGTGTCAGAAAGGTCCCCAGGTCTAGGACAGCATCTGGGAGAGGGTAGAGCAGAGTAGGGAGAAGGACTGCCACAGCTGGTCACAGACCAGCCCCAGGGCAGCTGAGTATTGATTTGATCAATGGCTTTTTCCTCTTTCCTTGAGTTCCCCTATGATGGCCTTTTAATTGGGTTCATTTGTTCCAAGACCATGGGCTGAGCTGAGCAGATGTCAGATGATTTGCCTATTCTTAAATAGATTAGGAAATGGCCCTATGTGTTGGGCTGCCAGAAAAACCAGAACGGCTGAACAGTGTCCCTGAGGAGTAACGCCGGCCCTGGGTGTATTGCAAAATCCCTTCCTGGCACCCTGCCTCTCCCTTGCCATCCCTGTGTCTATAGAGCTCTTCTGACTTCCTTGCTCATTTGAATTGTGTCTCGTCCTCCAACAAGACTCACTTCAAATCCCCTCCACCGTGAAGGAGCTGAAGTAGCACTCTGATCACCACGCCTCCCCTCAGCCTGCCTAAGCTCCTGCCACAGGGAACTCATACATCTGCCTGGCGAGAGGTCCTACCCGAATTGGAGGGTCTGCCCGAGAGGACATTTAAATCGCAATCCCACTTCAGCTTTTTTTTTTTTTTTTAAGTATCCATTTCCTGAGCTAGAGTCAGAAAGGGAAAGGGTGGCTGGGAAGCAGGAGAGAAGAGGAGTGGCACGTGATGGAAGTGAGTGGCAATTTAAACTTGACTGGAGAAAAAGAAAACTTTCATGTCGGTATCAAACTCAGACCATTTTAAAAAACTAGTTTCTTCCATTTTAGACATTAT